GTTTCACGAATTTCACTATTAAAAAATGTGATTTAAAAAAAAATAGAGACTGTAAATTCACATCTCTTTCTGTGTCTGGCAAAGTGTCTTGCACACAATTGACACCCCAAAAAACTGTTGAGTGAATTTACTGAATGAATGTGCACTGAAAACTAAATATCACAGGGAAATAAAATGCTGGTATTTTAGTATGAATATGTATCTAGCAAAATGTAGATAAGTACACATTCTATGAAAAAATAAGTTTTATTCATACTACCAAATGAAGCAAGGATTTACAAAGAAAAATTCAAAGCAAAATTGTTTTCAATCTGATTGTGGAAACTTTTCTTCACCACTTTGTCTCAACTTTTTATTATCTATTTTCAAGTCCTCAAAGTCCCACTGTTAAATATATTTTTAGTGTTATTTACAAAGTTACTATAAATCCCATACAATTGAAATTGCTGCAGTTGAAACTTTCATTATTCTCATAGCAGGTAATATCTGCTCATCTCTTTTATGCTGAAATATCTTCTTTTTCTAAAGCCAGAAAATATCTTTCTCTTGCTCTCTATGCCTTCTAAGTGAACAGAACAGATCTGATGTCACTATGTTATTATCAATTTACTTTTGGCATCATTATCCCGGGTTTTTTCTTAGTTTATGAACCGATTTTATTTTGTGAGGCACAAGCTGCACAAATTAAATATATTAACATTATTTAAGATCATATTGTATTTCTAGGTAGATTTTTCACTAATAGAAATGGGGAAATATCTTGATAATCAGGTATGTTTGGATTGATGGAAAGAGAACTCGAAGCAATAGAGAATAGGTGAAGTTATAAGAATTTACTGCTAGGCGTTCATTCAATGGTTAAGGTTTTAGCTCTAGCATTATTTGAAAGGTAGACATTTCAACGTAGGCTTTTATGACCTTACAGTTTTGAGTTAGAAAGCATTCCAGTGGTCTATATCTGCTTCTGTTTTTAGTTGTCCAGCGTACCAGCGTATTTAGATGATACTGCATGAATCCACACAGGAAGACACTTATCTAGGGATTACCAACTCACAGCTGGGTCAATAGATGATGATGATCACGTGAAAGACAATGGTTGCACGTGAATGGACCCATGGAGAATAAAGCATGCTATACCTTCATTTCACAGACAGTTCTGTGTAAATATCATGTGCTAATGTTTTACTAAATTTACCACTATAGATAAAACATACAGGAAAAATACTCATTTGAGTCATCAGTATGGGATAAAATGATATGTACTCATTTTCATCTTGAGCTAAAACTCAAGACATTATAATATCTTTTACCATTCTTTCCTAAATATATGGATGTCACTGCCTTTAATTTTAGAAAAGGATGAGGGTTAGGATGTGGCTCATTGAAAAGATAGAAACAGCTGTTATAATCAAAACAACTCTTCATCTCTGCCGTGATATTTTATGCAAAGGTTTGTGTTTGTTGTAGACATTTCCATACTCAAAGAAATATAAATAGGAATTAACATGTAATATTGATATATATATACAGTGTTCCAGCAAAGGAAGCTTAGATTTGAGTCATTTTAATGTATGAAATGACATTTTTCTTATTAAGAAATAAACCTATTCTCAAAAGAATTCTGAACTTACTTCAAGAGACCAGATTTAAGTTCCATTCTTTGTCATTTACTCACTGTATGATGTTGGGTAAATTACATAAACTTTCTAAGCTCTATATGTCTCATTTGGAAAAGAAAAAGTGATGATGAAATGGTGTATTTGAAAACACTTTACAACATATTATACTCTACAATTCTTTATACTACTCACATTTGAGATATGCAATTAAAAAATTACCACCAAAGGAAAATAGTTACCTTTATCAGTTTGACATCTAATATTCAGTCACAGGTTTTTTTTTTTTTTATTTACTAGTTCCTTTTCTTTCCATAAAATCCAGCCTCTGCACTTTTTTCTTTTTGCTATGCTTTTAACACACAAAGAAGTCTTCTGTTGTCCTATTTAAGTTCCACTTGTTGCTTTATAAAGTTAGGAGGGAACTGAGAGAACTTCTAATCACTTAAATTTTATCAGACACACAAATAAACAAAAAAGTCTGAAGTCTACTAGTTCTGGGATGGAGATTATTCCTGTGGATAGCATCCAATTTGACCACAAAAACAAATTTTCAAAGTCTTATTTTTTTACAGTGAAAGCAAATCACCTTGTGACTTCAGTTATGAAGAAATGATGTCAAAAATCAATAAAACAGCAGGTTTTCCCTAATCCAACATCTTTTCTGTCAATAAAAGTGTATAATTATATGATGAGAAGGATGACAGAGATTTCAGTAGGACAAATACAATCTTCCAGCTTGATATATTCAGAGACCATTTGTAGGTAGTTCGTTTCGGTTTGCCTCTAAGAAGTACTAATTTGCTATAATTAAAGAGAACAGCTGGGATCAAGCACTGACTCAAGCTAACAGCCAGGCTTGTTAGCTTGTGCCTGGTCAGAGACACTTTTTCTGCCAGTAGTATTTCAGGAACCCAAAAATATTCCCACATTTATCTCCAGAATTATATTCCCAGTATTCCCGCTTTTATGAAAGGTCATATGTTCTGAGCAGAGGAGATTCTTAGAGTATCAATATCCTGGAAGGTTTCTGTTCTCCTCAATGTTAAACCAGCAACTGCCTCAGAATTGAACTCCAAAATGTAACGGGTTTTTCTTCCGGATGCCGGTGATCTTTGTGGGTTCTTGGCCTCCAACCTCTTAAGGAATAAGCGGTGGGGCCACTGCAGGTGGACGGTATGCTTCTAAAGTGAATATCGGACCCAAAAAGTGTTGCAGAAAGATGATTTTATTTAGGTAGAGAAAAGAGAAGGAAAGGAGAAGAGAAAGGCTTCCACGAAGAGTGTGGACGGGGATTCCAGCGGGAAAAATCCAGGAAGGAACTCCCACCGTGTGGGCGGGGATTCCAGAACGTCGGTTTCCGGCGGAGCCCGGACTTTTACCCTGGGAGAACCCCCACCTTCTCCAAGACCCTGCGCTAATGAAAGGAGTTCCTTAGAACTGCAGCTGGAGTGAGTGACTTTTAGTTTCTTCCCACGCCCTCGAAATTCAAACATAAACCATTCAATCTCCCAGATGGAGAGAGATGGGAGCGGGGCAAGGAGCCAGGGAAATTCTTGCCCTTAAAGTTATGCCCGCTCGGGGCCTGTAATCCCACCTACTCGGGAGGCTGAGGCAGGAGAACTGCTTGAACCCGGGAGGCGGAGGTTGCAGTGAGCCGAGATCTCGCCACTGCACTCCACTCTGGCGCCTGGCGACCGAGTGAGACTCTGTCTCAAAAAAAAAAAAAGCTACGCCCACTCATGGACCCGGAAAGAGAACTCTCAAAAACATTGCTTATGAATACTACCTGGGAAGAGCATTCCAAATTTTATTTCTACGATGATGGAACAAGTCAAACACCAGTAATTTGGGTGAGTACTAATAGCAGACAATGGTTTCTCTGTCTCCCGAAACCTTATAAAATACCATGCCTACAGATTTCCTGCTCATTTCTTCTGAGGATTATTTCTATGACTTTTTTTGTGATAATTTTGAATAAACTGTGTTTTGCATTCATTTTTCTATTAAAACACTATTCTTTATATTTTTATTTTTTGAGATAAACTTCAGATAGCAAAAAGTTAACCATCTGAATGATTTTAGAGTACATATCTAAACAATCTCGAAAAATAAGTACAAATTAGTTTTTAAATTAATTTTTAACATGGTGTAACAATCAGTGTTATCTCATTCCAGAACATTTTTTATCACCTTCCCAAAAACATCGTGTACCCATTAACCAGCCACTCTCCATCAGCCCTTTACCCCAGCCACTGGCAACCACTTTTCTGTGACTATGGATTTGCCTTTTCTGGACATTTCATATAAATGAAATCATACAACATGTAACCTCTTGTGACTATCTTCTCTTATGTAGAATAATAATTTCAAGGTTCATCTGTGTTGGTAGTATGCATCAGTACTTCATTCTTTTTATGATTGAATGATATGGCATATACAATTTTACAGTTATACCACATTTTTTTTATCTGTTCATCAGATAGATGATGAACATTTAGATTGTTTTTACTTTTTGGCTACTATGAATAATAATGTTTTAAACATACATGTACAAGATTTTGTGGACATATATTTTCAGTTCTTTTGGGTATGTACCTAGGAGTGGAATTTCAAGTGAGTCATAAGGTAACGCCATGTTTAACTATTTGAGGAAAAGCCAAAATCTTTTCCACAGTGGATGCACCATTTTCCATTGCCACCAGCAATGTAATTTCTCCACATTAGTACTGTTTTTGTTGTTCTGCTTTTTTTTTTTTTTTAATATATAATTCTTTTTATAAATGTGTCTTGCTCTGTCTCCCAAGCTGGAGTGCAGTGATACGATCTTGGCTCACTGCAACCTTGCTCCTCCGGGCTCAAGCGATTTTTTTCCTGGGCCAGCAGGCTATGGAGCTGAGAGCCTCAGGGGCCAACGGCTTTCCAGGCTGAAGGCCGGGTGTCTGCTTCTTAATGCCTTCGGCGCCGCTTGGGTGCGGGTCTCCACGGCACAGCTGGTCTTGGTAGTCTGTATTCAAAGTTTGCTTGTTATCTTAAAAACTGCATTTTGTTTTAAGCTTGAATCAAGAGACAGGTGTTATCATTCCTCTTTTACAGATGAGGAAACTAAGCCTGAGAAGTTGAGGAGCCGGTTGAACAGTGCAGTGCACTGATGAGAGACTGCCCACATGAACACTAGTGACTGTAAAACGCAGAACAAAGGCCCTGAGCGCCTTCCCGCCCTGTTCGAACCCGGTCTCCCTGAATGTGTGCAGGAATCCTGTATGATTTCTGCCCAGAGAGATCTGGGTGAATATTCTTCCAAGATTGTTCAGAATGCCGTTTCCAGAGGGCCCCAGGCGGGGGCAGGCAGGCGCCCACTCAGCACCCAGTGAAGTGGATTACCTGGCATGTGCAGGGGCCCAGGTGCCCGGCTGTACGCCCAGGCAACCCTTCAGGGTCTGCAACTGCCTGACAGCCAGGGCATGGCTGTGGTGCTGGGGGAAGCCTCGGGGCCCCATCATCCGCAGCTCTTGCTCCACGTGTTCCAGCTGAAGGTACAGGCACTGCCTGTAGGCACTGTCTTTCCAGGGGCCACTCAGAGCCACCTTGGGCTTGGGGCACTGCATGCTCTCTGGAGGACAAGAGAGAAACTGATCAGCTGATGCTAAATCACAGAGCAAACCAGCTGCAATAGAAACACACCAGGTGTGGCAACATGTGCCTTGTGGTCTCAGCTACCGGGGAGGCTGAGGCAGGAGGATCGCTGGAGCCCAGGAGGTTAAGGCTGCAGTAGGGCTGTGATGACAAAGCAAGACCCAGACTCTAAAACAAAACAAACAAAACCTCCCCCACAAAACACAACAGTAATAGAGGCAGCTTTTGAGTATCAAATAGTTGCTATGTGCCAAGCCCAAAAGAGGGAGTAAGGTTTTAGGGTCACACAGCCAGTTAGGATTTGTTGTTTCTCTTTTAGATTTTTATCTTCTCCTTCCCTATCAATTTCTCTAATTTTTGATTTTTTTTTTTTTTTTGCGGTGTAGTCTTGCTCTGTCCCCCAGCCTGGAGTGCACTGGTGTTAGCTCACTGCAATCTCCATTACCTGGGTTCAAGCAATTCTCTTGCCTCAGCCTCTCCAGTAGCTGGGAATACAAGTGCACACCACCATACCCGGCTAATTTTTGTACTTTTAGTAGAGATGGGGTTTCACCATGTTAGCCAGGTTGGTTCTGAACTTAACCTCAGGTGATCCACCTGCCTCAGCCTCCCAAAGTACTGGGATTACAGGAGTGAGCCACCATGCCTACTCCCCCTGCACAATGCTGGCCCAGAGTATTTTAAAGTAAATAATATGGTAAGATTTGAATTTAAGCCCTGTTTTGTCTAGTGCCAAAGCAGTGTAATCCTTTTTTTTCCTCAAGACCGAGTTTTGCTCTTGTCACCCAGGCTGGAGTGGAGTGGCATGATCTCGGCTCACTGCAACCTCTGCCTCCCAGGTTCAAGTGATTCTCCTGCCTCCGCCTCCCAAGTAACTGGGATTACAGGAACCTGCCACCACGCCCAGCTATTTGTTTTTTCTTTGTATTTTTAGTAGAGACCAGTTTTCACCATGTTGGCTAGGCTGGTCTTGAACTCCTGACATCAGGGGATCCGCCCGCCTCAGCCTCCCTAAGTGCTGGGATCACAGGCATGAGCCACCATTCCCCGCCAATATAGTGCAATCCTTAATCTTGTGTTTTTAGCTTCCAAAAAATTATTAAACATCTCATACGTATGAAAGTGGAGCCAATGACAAGATGAGGCCACACAGCTTCAAAATGATCAAAATGATGGAGTGAGACTCCACCTCAAAACAACAAAAACTGCAGTTATGATCTTGTATTTTCCCTTCACCTACCGGTAAGCTTACCTAACTGTGCTTAGCATCTCTGGAGCAGCACATGCTCCCACCTGGGGATTGCCTAGAGAGACAATAGTCTCTGCATCCCAAAGTATGCCCCCAACCAAACTCTCCCGTCTTGAGAGTTTCAGCCACTTTTACAACCTAGCTCTGTCCAGGAAGGTGCCAGCTGGACTGCCTGGTAGATAATTCTAATTCACTAAAGTGCGTTAAGTGGACCACACCAGCTTGCTTTCTCCTCTGCCTGCCATGTATGCCAAATCTCCTTTTAAAATCCCTGGTTTCTGCCTCAGAGGTGAAGTAATACCCTTAAGTCAGGAAGCCTGTACTTCTTCCACTAAGCTAGCTTTGGAATACAAAGCCACTTTTCTCTCTTTTTTTTTTTTTGAGACAGGGTCTAACTCTGTCCCCCAGGCTGGAGTGCAGTGGTGTGATGTTGGCTCACGGCCACCTCTGTCTCCTGGGCTCAAGTGATCTTCCCACCTCAGCTTCCCAAGTAGCTGGGACTGCAGGCGCCTGCCACCATGCTCAGCTAAAAAAGTCACTTTTTTTTTTCTTTTTTTCTCATTTACACCTTCAATGTTGTGCCTTCACCCAAAAAAAGTCACTTTTTAAATATTAGATTTCACTCTGATTAATTGGACTCTGCAACTGGCCAGCAACTAAACTTGCATTTTGGTTACAGCCTCGTGTATGCGTCTCCAGCACTGACTCAGGCGAGGCTGGGATGCTGGGTAAATGGCTACGGTGAGGTCAGCTCCTACCTTATTCTGGCTCAGAGCCTCCTCCCTTGCCCTCCTCATCAAGGGCTCCCTCACTGAAGCCTCAGCTGAAGATTCCAAGTCAACACACTTTATTTTGCAAGGCTTCTGCTAATGTTTCTGGAAGATACCATCACTGCCAATCATAACACCTCTTACTGAATACCTGCTTTGTGTCAGGCTGGGATCTAAGTAGCTTCCACATCTTATGATCTTATTCAGCCCTCACAGTAAGCCAAGGAGCTAGGTGGATCAATACCCCTATTTTATTTTATTTTATTTTTTATTTTATTTTTTTGAGACGGAGTTTCGCTCTTGTTACCCAGGCTGGAGTGCAATGGCGCAATCTCGGCTCACCGCAACCTCTGCCTCCTGGGTTNTTTACAGGCGCGATCCCACTGCTGAGCAGCACAGGAGTTTTGACCTGCTCCCTTTCTGACCTGGGCCGGTTCACCCATCCTTAGGCAGCCTGGTGGTCCCCTGCTCCCAGGAGGTCACCATATTGATACCTAACTTAGTGCAGACGCCCAATCGGCATAGCACGCTACAGCCCAGAACTCCTGGGCTCAAGCGATCCTCCCACCTCAGGCTCCCGAGTAGCTGGGACTACTGGCAGGCCTGGCTCCTGCTGTATTAAGCGATGCGCTCATCTGCGTGGTTTTAGCTGCAAGGCCTCAGCCACATGACCTCTCTGCCTGTTCTGCACAACCACAGGACCCACGGTTCACTTAGGGAATAGAAAGGCTCAGCGCGCATGCCTGTTCTTAGTATACTGTGAGCCTGGTGTTGAGGGGAGGTGTCAGATGTTTTTTGACTCTTATGATAAAGGCTGTTCAGGGAAGAATGGGGGACCAGAGGGGATTTGGCAACGTCTCATAGGGTAAAGATTAGCTCTGTTTGGTTGGTTGGTTTTGAGATGGAATCTCACTCTGTCTCCAAAGCTGGAATGCAACGGCAGGATCTCTGCTCACTGCAACCTCCACCTCCTAGGTTCAAGCGATTCTTTTGCCTCAACCTCCCAAGTAGCTGGGACTACAAGCGTCAGTCACCACGCTCAGCTAATTTTTGTATTTTTAGTAGAGACAGGGTTTCACCATATTGGTCAAGTTGGTCTCGAACTCCTGACCTCAGGTGATCTGCCCGCCTCAGCCACCCAATGTGTTGGGATTACAGGTGTGAGCTACTTGCCTGGCTAATTTTTGTGTTTTTTGTAGAGACAGGGTATTGCCCTGTTGCCCAGGCTGGTCTAGAACTCCTTAGCCCCGTACCTGCCTCGGCCTCCCGACGTCCTGGAGTACAGGTGTGAGCCACCATGCCCAGCCCCACCTTAATTTCTTTCTATTTTTTTGAGACAGAGTCTCACTGTGTTGTCTAGCGTGCAGTGGTGAGATCTCAGCTCAGTGCAACCTCCATCTGCTGGGTGTAAGCGATTCTTCTGCCTGCACCTCCTGAGTACCTGGGACTATAGGCACCTGCCACCATGCCTGGCTAAGTCTTTTTTTTTTGAGATGGAGTCTTGCTGCACTGACTGGGCTGGAGTGCATTGGCGCAATCTTAGCTCACTGCCACCTCCACCTCCCAGGTTCAAGCAATTCTCCTGCCTCAGCCTCTCCAGTAGCTGGGATTATAGGCACGTGCCACTATGCCTGGCTAATTTTTGTACTTTTATTAGAGATGGGGTTTCACCATATGCGCTAGGCTGGTCTTGAACTCCTGACCTCGTGATCTACCTGCCTTGGCCTCCCAAAGTATTGGGATTACAGGCATGAGCCACTGTGCCTGACTTTTTTGTATTTTTAATAGAGATGGGCCTTCACCATTTTTGCCAGGCTGGTCTCGAACCCCTGATCTCAAATGATCCACTTGCCTCAGACTTCCAAAGTGCTGGGATTACAGGTGTGAGCCACCTCGCCCGGCCTGTAATTCCTTAACCTCAAGTTTTCTCACCTGTGAAAGGGAGCTGAGACTCCTAAGGGCGGTCGTGATTATGGAATACAGCACTAGCTTCCCAGTAAAACACCACACCTGCTGCAGAGTGAGTGTGCACTTACTTGGGCCATGATAGGAATTCTCTTCATTATTGTTCCCATCCCTTGGTCTGCAGAGAGGGGATGCTCCAGGTTCATTTGTTGAATGTATAAATAAAGGAATGGAAGCCCAGCAACAAGCTACTGGCAGGAGGGAAGGGATGGGTGGAGGGGAGGACGGCAGGCACCTGGGACAGAGTCCTGACCTTTAGAGGCTGGGTGACGAACACGCTTTCCATGAAGGAGACGGCCATGGAGATGAGCCACCTGATGGAGCTCGCCCGCCCATACTGCAGGCCGTAGAGCATGGTGAAGAAGGCCGCCACACCACTGGTGGCTGCCACCAGGAGCCATCCCACCAGGATGCACCACCAGGGAAGGCCTTGAGGGGGCTTGCTCGCCCGAAAAGCGCTGCAAAGGAGGTGGATGGACATAGTTAGGGTGACCACTCCCCCAAACCAGCTCAAGGTCAAACCCCACTCTACCCCACCATCTGCATGACCTTGGCAAAGCTCCTGGACCTCTCAGACCCTCTGCTTCCTTCTCTGTAATCTATACCTGTCTCAAAGGGCTATGCAGTAAAAGCAGTTACATTTATTCAGTGCAGAGCAGCGGCAAGTCCCCGCTCTAACCACTATACCCCGATTTGCTCTGTGACTGCTTAGGGCAAGCCTGAGTAGATAACATGTAATTTTGTTTGAAGTTTTTTTTCATTTGATTTTGATTTGTCATGACCTCCATGCCCATGTTTTAAGTTTTTATTATTGATGTACTTATTTGAGACAGATCTTGCTCTGCCACCCAGTGCAATGGCTCGATCTCGGCTCACTGCAACCCCTACCTCTCAGGTTCAAGCGATTCGACTGCTTCAGCCTCCCGAATCGTTGGGATTACAGGTGCCCACTACACCCAGTTAATTTTTGTATTTTTAACCTAAAGTTTTTTG